AATGGTAGAGGAGTCTCTCGAGCCAGTCTAAAGCTTTCCCTCTAAGTGAGAAAGGGAACAATCTCAATCTTAATGCATCCTCCGACACATTTGTTTGTTTGCTTCCCTAGCAGGTATCCACAAAGCTTTTAAGATATTTATATGGGAGTACCTGTGAAGTACACTCGCTGCTCCAATAAAGTCAACATCACATTTGTAATTTGAAAATTGCCCATCCGGATCCGGGGTGGGACAATTGCACCTGCGTATTTTTCATTTGAAAGCAGCCGAGGAGCGACTCTTGGAGGAGGCGGGGGAGGGTCTGGAACATTGTCATTGGCATGGCGGCCTCTTCTTTGACCTTGAGGTACTAGAGGCACCTCACTTTCACCATTATCATCTACCTCCTCCTCCGAAATAGCATTTCCAAGATTATCGTTGTTCGCTATTTTGTACCTGAATTGATGACACACACAAGTTAGTAATACGGAAGGAAAGAAAAACAAGACACAAAACTAGTCAGATAGATAGCCAAAACTATTTAGCTCCCCGACAACGACGCCAAAAAGTGATCGGTGCCAACCCTGTACCACTATAGAGTGGCATGAGCGGTTGATGCAGCTTTTACCTGAAAGGTCGGGATCGAATCCAGAGAGAGCTAAGATAGGTTTGGAGTTGGGTTTCTATCTGATCTAGCAGTGTGCGATGTTCTTAATTACACTTCCAATCATTCTTTGTTTGTTTACTATTCTACTTTAATACTAATGATGCAAGAAAATAAGCTAAGTATGATGTTTTCGTAAGGTTTTCTTAATTGGTCTAAGGCACTAGGGAAGTGACTTGCACCTAGGTGGGTATCTAACGGGATCTAAAGCGTAAGGCAAATTTGTTATAATTAGGATCATGATATAGCCATTACACGTAGTTACTCACTCTATATTTCACGGTAGTTTGAGTGACTTTTCCCTAATTGTATTTATCAAGCCCAATTGGGTGTTCACACAATGCAAGCAAAATTTGGCTCAAGTCGGGTATTACTATCTCTAGGTTTAACCCTTTAATTGGGGCTATCAATCTCTTGAATGTACCCCAATTCCTTGTTGGCCTGAATTTTCTAGACTTAGTCTCTCTTTCTCAAGAAGAACCTAAGTCAAAAAGGCACAAATCAGTATTTGCAACCACCAATTCAACATTTAAAGCATAAATCAAGACAATATCATTCACTCATGAACATTTAAGCCCTAAAATTGAAAATCCATTAAATACTCACACTAGGGTTGAGCCACAATCCTAGCTAATGGGTTTAGCTACTCATAATCAAAAAAGAAATTAAAGATTTAGATGAAATATAACCCATAAAAAGCAATTACAAGAGAAGAATCTAAGATTAATGGTTAACAATGCTCTAAAATTACTCAAAAAAGCTAAAAACGGCGGTTCATGTGCTCTCTAAACAACAGATGACCTAAAAATCTAAAAAAGAACTATTTATACACAACTATATTTTCCTGGACAAAATTGCCCCTAAGAAGCTTCCGTTGACAGCGAAAAATGGACCGTTGTAGCGCTAGGACTACCGCGGCTGGGCAAAAGCCACCGCGGACCGCGGTCTTCAACTTTTAGCTCTACTTTTGGCTCTTTGAACTTTGACTTTCGCTGAGGGCGATAAAATGACCGCTACCGCGCAATTTCATCGCGGGCAGTGGTGACTTGTTAGGCCCAAAATGCAGCTCTCTGAACTTTGCCACCACTAAGAGCGGTAAATGGTACGCCCCACTGGTGGACCCTCTGTGTCCGCGCTTGATTCTTTGCTGTCAACGCTCCTTTTACTCAGCTTTTGAACTTGTGCAGGTTTCACTCCTTTATGAGTTGGTTTTGACTTTCTTGTCTCTTTTTGACTAAACATTGCAAACAAGCACATTAAGTTAGCTTTCGGGAATACTTGTACACATTTTTAATCCAAAACTCAAGCAAAAAGGAGCATAAAATAGGCTAGAATCCCTAGTTATCAGTCGCAACCTTTATGGCCCTGGCATGTGCTTTCACGAAGGCATCTGCTAACATAGCAAATGAATCGATAGAATTCGGTGGCAAGTTATGATACCAAATTATTGCTCCTTTGGACAAAGTTTCCCCAAATATTTTCAACAATACCGACTCGATCTCATCATCATTTAAGTCGTTTCCTTTAATCCCGCAAGTGTACGAGGTAATGTGTTAATTAGGATCGCTCGTTCCATTATATTTAGGTATATCGGGCATAAAAAACTTCTTAGGGATGGGCATCGGAGCCGCGCTCGGGGGAAACGGCTTTTGCACAAATTTTTTGGCATCAAATCCTTTCAAGACTGACGGTGCCCCTGGTATTTGATCGACACGGGAGTTATACGTCTCTACCATTTTGTCATTATCCTCAATTTTTTTCTCTCCCGACTCGATTCTTTTGGTGAGCTCCTCGAGCATCCTCATAATTGTGGGGTCAGTCCCCGACCATTACCATTCGATCTTTCAAGCACCGGCTCAGTACGACGAGTGATTCCTGGTTCGACCACACTTGGAATTTTATGCTGACTTTGAAACTGAGCGATAGTAATCTGTTGAGCTTGTAACATCTCGAATATTACTTGAAGACTGACTACCCCGTCTCCTATGCCCTAAGTTCCTTGACCACCAGTTCGACCTTCCCTGTGCACACTCGCTCCGAGATTTGCACCTAAATCTGCGTTCAGAGCAATGTGCGAACTGACATCGACAAGGTCGGCAGCAGGCACTTCCCCAGGGTTAACCGATGGCACCACTACCCCTGGAGAAATTATGTTGTCATTTTCTCCGTGGAACCCAAGACCGTCATCACCATGTACGGGCGCGTTCTGTGAGCTTGACATGTTTTAACCTGAAAACAAAGAATCTTTGACAAGAACAAGTGGGAAAATAACGTGTGTTATAAGACCAGTACTGAAATAACCACTATTATCTTTAGCCCCATGGTGGGCGTCAAACTGTTTACCTCGAAAATACGAGTAACAATTTAACTTGTTTGTGGTTTTAAAGATACGTGATTTAATTCAATACTAATTTATAACCAAGAAATCTGATGAATAAATGAGAGAAGTAAGTAAAATCAAACAAGTGTTCAAGCCAGTCTCGACCTCGAGCTAAGGCGGCCTCGAGGTAGGTCAAAAACAATAAAGTAAGAATAAAAAAACTAACGGATAATTCTAATGAGGAATGAAGAAAGTAAGAGAGTATATTTTTTTGCCAATGATTGATGATGGTTACAAATGATTGAGGTCTCCTTTATATAGTAGGGGAACCCTAAATAAGGTACATTTCTATTTACAGTAAGAAATCTTATTGGGACAACTGTCTAACCGCCTAGTACGAATTCGTACTAACTCATACAAATCTATTTCGGAATTTACGCCATGATCTTGGGGACGTGGCAGGAATCTTGCTCTTTCTGTTACAAGACCACAACTGCATTATCTCGAGGCCGGTCACGTTCGGCCTCGATATTCATCGGACATTCTGATCTTCGAGCTTCGAACTCTGCCATCGGCCTCGAACCCAGTATACTTCGGACTTGTTCTTGAAATGGTTCCTCGAGCCCACAAAATCAAGCATATCTGATTTTGACCTTATACAAACTTACCATGCCAGAGAATAAATACGCTTGAGAATGAAAACCCTGTTCTGGCCAGGCGTTGCCTTGCAATTTGTTATATTCTGTGATACACTAAGCTTGCCGTACTTTATGAGAATTTTTAAAGCAAATTTGGGGGACGTAAATAATTTTCATTCTTTCACATTTAGAGCTTTGCCCTATTTTCTTGGCGGATGCTATTCCACTCCAAGTATTATGTACCTACCACGTGTAATAAGTTAAATAATATGTATACCAAAAATGAGGAGCAATAAAGAGGCCTAAGTTGGCATTTTAAGGGTCAGCCTAAACTTTTACGCCATTAAGAATAAATATAATACAACTGATGCTTATAATAGTAATTAATTAGTACTACTATATTCACACATGGTAAGTGAACATCTGCTTGTCACCATTAAAAATGTTAGTACTATTGTATTCACATTTAAGTAAACAAACATGCATGTGATATGCAATTGTTGCCGCAAACAGGAGGCAGACGCCATTAACAATACTAAAATTATTATTGCATTTACATTTTAAGCAAACATGTGATGAGGCAAGTGTTGCGCCTAACAGAATAAGGCAGAGAATCATTAACTTAACTCTGATTTTCAGTATGTGCAGCCCTGGCACAACAGTCCAAAGAATTAACTTACATTTTTTTATATTATAAAATTGTATTAACTATTTCATCTCTCATTTATATTAAAAGTCTAAAGTCAAATTCAACCCCGGTCGCTAACCCCAAAAGAGGTTAAAAGAAGAAGTCTTCTCCAAGTATCTATGTGCTAATTTGAAATACTACTACCATACTTCGTCCCATTAAACATACATTCTCTTAATTGATTTAATACAATCTCTTTTTGGTTTATTTTTTATATAATTATAATAAAATAACTTTATATGACATTTACAAATTTAAAAAATACAAATTCAACTAATTGTTCCAAGTTTAAGCTTAACCGATAATGTTATTAAATGATTTCTCAATAACTCCTTTAATAATTTTTCTTTCACAACTCGTGCCAAAACCAAGTCAGATTAACATTCCAAATATTATTTATTTTTAACCACTGGTAATAGCCAAATATGCACAGGTAATTATGAGTAAGTCCTTTTTCCTCGCATCAGCCAAATCACCGACGCAATGGACCAATACTCAGTACTACGTGTCTTCAATACACGCTTTTGAGTACCTAAGCTTAAGATGTCAGTCTCTCTCTCACACATACAGACACACAATTCCTGTGAGAGAGATAGAGACATAATTAACTCTCTGACAAAAAAATGCAATTTACATATTTAGTACACACCAATTAATTTACAAAACCATCATTTGTCAATTTTTAATTATAAAAAACATCGTATTTATGAAATGGAATGATGATGAAACTTAACCAACAGCTCTCCGCCATAAGTGTATTGCTCTTCTCCATAGCGGCAAATTGCAAAACCCCAATGCATGCCGCCTTTCTTAAAACCTACATTGCATTTTCCATTCTTCTCCTTTCCTTTTTATTTACATTTTTTTTGTTAAATATTCAGCAGATCTAACAATATTTCTAAAATGCCGTAAAAAATCATTCCCAAAGTAACAAAACTAGCTGAGATTTTGGCTTAAAAAAGATCCTTATTCCTTTCCTAGCTAACTGTCTTCACCACTATAGCATTTTACCTTCTAAAGCTTGACGAATATTTTGCTCTTTTTTTTTTTGGGTTGAAAAAATGACAATGAAACTGACCCAGAAAGAAAAAGATTCAGAAAAAATACTTTGGGATCAAATGAGAAGTTCTACTGTTACACCTTTTTCGATTATTGCTTTGCCTAAACTCATGGTATGGCTTATACTTTTTGTATCAGCTACTTATGTTGTTTACACTCTTAAGCTTCTTTCCTCTTCTCCACCTTGTAACGACGACGTTTTCACCCACAGCAGCACTAATATTTTACCAATTATTCACTCACAAATCAATTCCAATGACTCGGTTGTTGTGGAGAAAGCAAGATTTTTACAAGAAAAGAAAGTGGAGAAAACTGAATTAGAGCATGTAGTTTTTGGCATTGCAGCTTCAGCCAAGCTATGGAACAAGAGGAAAGAATATATTAAGCTATGGTGGAAACCCGAGAAGAAAATGAGAGGGATCGTTTGGTTAGATAATTCAGTAAAAATGTTGAAAAATGAAACTGATTCACTGCCTGAAGTGAGAATTTCAGGTGACACTTCACATTATGCCTATAATAACCGGCAGGGGCATCGGTCGGCGATTCGAATATCGAGGATTGTTTCAGAGACATTAAGGTTAGGGATGGAAAATGTGAGGTGGTTTGTAATGGGTGATGACGACACTGTATTTGTAACGGATAATTTGTTGAGAATATTGAATAAGTATGATCATAATCAATATTATTATATAGGGAGTTTGAGTGAGAGTCATTTGCAGAATATATATTTCTCTTATAGTATGGCATATGGGGGTGGTGGATTTGCAATTAGTTATCCTTTGGCAAAAGCTCTTGATAAAATGCAAGATAGGTGTATTCAAAGGTATCCTGGACTTTATGGTTCTGATGATAGAATGCAAGCTTGTATGGCTGAACTCGGTGTCCCACTCACCAAAGAACTCGGTTTTCACCAGGTTAGTCTGCTTTCTTCCTTCTATTAAAAAAAAAGGGGGGCCTATGCGTGGGTCCCGGAAAGGGCCGGACTAGTCTATTGTACGCAGCCTTACCATGCCCTACTTTTCTGCTTCCACATATTGAATACGTGACCTCCTGGTCATATGACACTCCTGGTCATATGGCAGCAACCGATTATGCCAAGGCTCCCCTCGCTTTCTTCCTTCTATATTATGTTAATTTTACCTTTCTTTTTATTGCATTGATTATCCATAATTGGTTTTTAATACGGGAGGAAGAATATAATAATAGTTGTTACTTGATAATGTAGAACTTGTTGGTTTCTTGAATTTGGCCAGCTATTTCTGTAAAGCTTAATACTTTAGCCTACTTATTTTAACAATGCGAGTTGTTTGTGAATAACAATGGGATGAACTACTCTTTTGCCAAAAGGGTAGTCCTAGAGGCATGGAATATTTTATACCATTGCAGCATTGCCCTTTTATCCAAAGAAGTGTTAATCGAGCTAAAGCGTTTTAAAGATAATTTTTTTTTATCTAAGCTCATACCAAAAAAGAAAACAGAGGAGTCTGTTTCATATCAGATTTCAACTAATTGGTTGTCGTGAGATAATGGTTTTTAGAATGTGTTTTTTTTTTCTCCTTGAGTATTCAGGTAGAATTGTCCTGTTAATATATTTACACAAATGATTTAAATTCTAGAATTAATGATGTGGAATGTGATTCGTTCATTGGATCAGTGTGAGTGCTGCTAGCTCTGATTGTATGTTTGATTAACGGCATAATGGAGTATCCATTCGACTGCCTGATGCGAGTATACATGAACTCTTGCGATGAATATGGTAGATTTTATATATTCTTTTTTACTGCATTTTGGTATTTGCACATGCTTGTTGAAGAAGTGACTGTGAACTGTAGCTTAGTTATGGTTACATATTTAAACAATGTCTATTTTTTCAGTCATGAAAGACTGTTCCATTCAATCTGACTAAAATTTGTTGTTGGTGGATGGGAATGCAGTACGATGTGTACGGGAACTTATTTGGGTTGCTAGCATCACATCCTGTAGCACCATTGGTATCGTTGCACCATCTTGATGTGGTGGAGCCAATCTTTCCCAATGTGACTCAAGTGAAGGCTTTGAAGCAGCTTACAGTTCCAATGAAACTCGACTCAGCTGGTATTATGCAGCAATCCATTTGCTATGACAAAGTTAATAGTTGGACTATTTCAGTGTCGTGGGGATTTGCAGTACAAATATTTCGTGGAGTTCTGTCTCCCCGTGAAATAGAAATGCCATCAAGGACTTTCTTAAACTGGTATAGAAGAGCAGATTACAAAGCATATGCTTTTAACACAAGGCCAGTTATGCGTAACCCGTGTCAAAAGCCTTTTGTATTTTACATGTCAAGCGCAAAAATGGATTCTTCAGGCAACCAGACTATGAGTCAGTATACTCGTCATCGAGTTCCTCATCCGCTATGCAGATGGAAAATGGCAAACCCTGCCGATGTTGAGAGAATACAAGTTTACAAGAAGCCAGACCCCCACCTATGGGATAGGGTAAGTCCATCCTTATCGTGCATTTGATTTATTTGGCTTCATATATAATCATCTAAGTAGGAGAGCCTTGGCATAACTGGTAAAATTGTTGTCATCGAGCTGTGGAAACAGGCTCTTGTAGAAATGCAGGGTAAGGCTGCGTACAATAGACCCTTGTGGTCCGGTACTTCCCGGATCCCACGCATAGCGGGAGCTTAGTGCACCGGGCTGTCATTTTATATATAGTCGTCAATAACTGTTTTTTTACCATGGTTTTGCATATAGCTAAACTAATTTTTTCATTAGAGGTTACATGTGATTTGACTGAGCTCTTGCAATGAGCATAACTGTGTTTGGAATGATATCTTAGTCCTGTAAAGGGTTGATGTCACGACCCGGATTTTCCACCCTCGGGAGTCGTAATGGTGCCTACTAGTGAAAGCTAGGTAAGCCGATTATTCCAATTGTTTAACCCTTTTCATTTTAAATGCCTTAACAGTTGTAAATTAACATTTTATAAACAACGAAAATATTAAAGCAGAAGAATGAAATGTAACAATTGTTAAGGGATTTAAAATGAAAAGGGTTAAACAATTGGAATATAATCGGCTTGCCTAGCTTTTACTAGTAGGCGCCATCACAACTTTCGAGGGTGGGAAATCCGGGTCGTGACAGTTGATTTGAATTGATATATTATCTTGGTTTTCAAAAAATATGTTTTCTTAATAAGCTAACTGAACAAAACCAATAGGAGCATTGGTAAGGCATTGGCAAATGGCAAAAATTTATTACCATTGTTTTATTTAGAGGGCACTTGATTTCTACATATAATGACTGGTATTACTGTTGAACAGTCTCCAAGGAGGAATTGTTGCAGAGTTTTAAGCTCAAAGAAGAAAAGCATGGTGGTGGATGTGGGTGTCTGTAGGGAAGATGAAGTCAGTGAAGTATTATGATGCATAATGTGTCAGCCCATCCTATTATTCTATCTTCTGCTGCCCAATTTACTGTCACCTGTATTTCTTCATTAATTTATTGAACTTATTTTCTTGGATTTCCAAGTTCCACTTATAGCCACTTGGGGAAAAAAATTAGCTATTGTAAAATGTCTTAGCTGTATACTTGACATTCCTAAGTGAGGTTAGTATAGCATAGAATTCTGTAATTTTTTAATAATATTAATCCCTTTTCTTGGGTTCCAAGAGTCTTCGTTTCTTACTGGCCATGGCTACTGTGTAATCGTCCAGCCAACTAATGATAATGCTTGCTTTGGGCATAGGCTCACACGGCTTTAAAATACGTTACTAGAATATAAGGCTTGTTTACTTATATACCTAGCAGTTCTCCCGTGTTTTATTGATGTGGGGTTCACTTAGAGCGTCACATACACCCCCTTAGGGACTCAGCGTCCTCGCTGAGGTTTGCCCCTCCACCGTTCAATGTTGCATGCGGAGTGGCTCTGGTACCCTATGTAACAATCTAGCCCACTAGCGATATTGTCCAATTTAGGCCAAGGCTCGCACGGCTTTAAAATACGCCACTAGGATCTAAGATTGGTTTATTTATAAACCCACTGTTTACTTATTTGTCACAAACTGCCTCTGCTTTTCTTTGGGTAAGTTAATGTGCATCGCTAAAATTGAAGAATGTGAAGTTTATATTATAGTGGTGTGCATGCATGTGTTATAATTGGATTCTTGAAAGAATACTTAGGTAACAAGAACCTTTTCAACATAGCGTACGCCACGGACAAAGCTAATTTAAGAAGCATTACTTGGGTTATGTAGCAAGATAAAAGGCATATGTCATGCTAAATGATGTTAAAGATGATGTTAAAATGCAAAGTTTAGTTGAATACTATATTAAGCACTTCCAACTAGGAAATGTTTACATTAGTTTACAAGAAGCTTCCATGTGATATTAAAGTACTCAAAAGTGCTTCTTTACTTGTCTTCTTTCCTTTCTTAAGATTTCAATAAGCTACTTTACAACTTTTGTTGTTGTACTTTATGGTAATAACAACAAACTTAGTATAGGCTCAAGTTCTCGGGAAGGTAGTGTGTACACAAACCTTAACTCTACTTAGAAAATAGAGAAGTTGTTCTCGATAAATCCTCGGGTCAAGGAAAGACAAGCTACTTTATGGCAAAAGATAAAAAAAAGATTTTAAATAAAGTATTTGGGTAGTGTGGAAGGGAACTATGAAACTGTAATTATAGGTATGTATAGTGATTTCTGCCATCCTTTCGGAAAAGGTACTTTTTACAGATCTAGACTTTATTGTTAGATCTAGCTTTGTCGCAAACAAAATTGTGGCAATATTGGTCCCTACGTCCTAAATGTATATCTTAAGATGATCACTTTCCTTCCTCATCTGGTTTCAATACTTTATGTTTATATAATATGGAGCATATTGTTTAGTACTAAAATATAGTTTATGTTTCAATGAGAAGAGGTGAGTGTTGAATATGACTTTGATAAACATAAATGGAACGTCTCGATCAAAATGAAGTTGCGGGGACACTATTCCCGAGTCCGGAATCAAAATGTGATTCTTTTGGACAAGTAGCACCTTAATAGGTGTAAAAAAAAAAGATGACATTTTTATATATAGCGCCCAAATACTGGGCGTTATACATTAACATTAATTGTGCCATTAATGTATAGCGTCCAGTATTTGGGCGCTATACATAGAAAGCTGACACTAACAGATATAACGCCCAAATACCCGACGCTATACCCTTTTTTTAAAAAACGAGTCGTCTTCTTCAAGACGACCATTCTGCTTCTTCTTCCTCAATATTTTATATCTTCTTCTTCTTGGTCCCCCACTCCCATACTCGCTGCCCCACTATTTTTTAAAAAAAATTTTGGGTCCCCCGTCATATAAAAGGTGAAGAACGTAGGTTCCACATTCGAGTAGAGCTTCATATTATTGTTGATTCATACTTCCGGGGTCAAAATTTCAATCTATTTGCTTTCCGAAAATTCTAAATCGAGGTATTTCAGTTTATTTTAAGTTGAAACTTTTATAATAATGCATATTATTTGATTTGTATGTGTTCTATTTCGGTTTGTGTTTTTTTTCGAAATTAGTATGTTAAATTTATCCGGATTTAATATTAGTGTTTTATAAAAAATATAAATTTATCAAATAAATTTGTCTGTTAATATCCTGATTTATATATATGTGTTTTCATGTCGTGTGTTTTATATGCAATTAAATTTATTTGTTGTTTATGTTTAGTTTATATTATTTTTTAGCGTAGTAAAATCTAGACCTTTTTTGCGTAGTAAAATGTAGACCCTTTTAGCGTAGTAAAATTTAGAGCCTTGTAGCGTAGTAATGTGTAGTATTTTAGCTTAGAATTCCTTTTGTTTAAGTATCGTATACTGGTAGTTGAAAATGCAAATTTTGTACAATTAAGTTAATAATTGTATCAACACACATAATTACTAATGTTAATTTGGTGTCATTGGTCCTCAAAACGACACTTTGGACTCGTACACTCTTCATATAGGGGGGGTCTCTCTTCAAATTAGGTCCTTCCTCTTCATCCTGCGCATCACCATCCTAACGAGGAAAGGGTGACTCGTCACCGGATTCATCGGCATTGTTATCGTAATCACTGTTCTGTTCCTCACCCTGTGCATCTGCCAGATCCCGATGTAATACGTCGTTTTCGGGCAATTGAGTGAGTACGGGTGGTTCAACTTGCTCGTTTTCACTACACAACCAACAAAAATATAAGCTACTGAATTAATAAATGCTTTCCATATGGCTATATCACTTCACTTACAAGTAGTAATTTGATGAAATTCCATGATGGATGTTTTCAATTAGGTGATGACTACTGGATGAGCTACTTGTAAAATTCATATCCGGCCGGTACCCCCTATTAAATATATGAGCGTTAATACAAATTCAATATACCAAAAATATACATAATTAACACAAATGAAAATTGAAGTTTACCACTCGTCTTGTGAATTATGAAAAGCAGGGTATAAATTATTTTCTCGTTGCTCATTCGCCGGCGGTGATAAGTTTAAATCAAGGAAAACTCTTTCATCCAGAACCTGTTCGGCAAAAACTGCTCCAGAATAACCACCCGATGACTGGGGGTTATCTCTACAACGCACAACCTCGTTTTTTGGAACGTCTTCGGCCTTCACGTACATCTCCAACATTGTGATTACAAGAAATTCCCGGCATTCATCCGGAGTCCTCAGAAAATCACTCAAAGTTTCATCATCATCGATGTTAAACTCCGAGTAAAAAGCAACCCCTTGCGGAGTGACGAAATACGGATATCTTCCGAATACTTTAAGTATCATTGAACATTTCCTCACACTCATATTTTTTTACATAACAACGATATTAATTTATCGTACTCCATTGTATGTGGCAATTTAACATGACACTGAGCAGGTAAACTGTAGCCCACGGAGTTATTCTCCATCAAACCTCACCCCCCTCAATATAATGAAACTCTTATTCTACGCTATTCAGACATAATGAAAAAATGCTGGAGAATTTAACAACAATAAACGTTTCAACAAGAGTATGGAAATGGCTAGCCGGGAAATTTCTACGCTATACACCTTTTGAATGAATTTCTATACAATCCTAAACTCTTTATATAGGAAATGGCTAGTCGGGAATTTTTTTTTTATATATAGCGCCCAAAAAGTGGGCACTATACGCTTTTGAATTATTAAAGTCAGGAATTATTGGTGGGGCTAGGAAAAAGGTGTATAGCGCCCAAATACCGGAAGCTATACATAAAGTTTTATGTATAACATTCAGTATTTGGGCGCTATACCTGTTAGTGTCAACTTTCTATGTATAGCGCTCAAATACTGAGCGCTATACATTAACGACATAGTTAATGTTAATGTATAGCGCTCAGTATTTGGGCGCTATATATAAAAATGTCATTTTTTTACACCTATTAAAGTACTATTTATCCAAAATTCCGGACTCCACTATTCCCTCTCCTTGACCCCATTTGGTTGTTGGAAAATGTAACAACTCTGCTTATTTTATTGCTGTCATAGTAATGGATTCGTGTAGGTTCCAAGAGCAGGGTCCTGTTTTCTTTCTACTTTTTTTTAATGGGGTACGGGCAATGACAGATTTAGAATTTCGAGTAAAATCTGTGTGTTCAGAGGACCTAATAGCTTTTGCCCCTAACCTTGTATATACAGTAAGAAATTTATCCAATATTTATAAATATTTAATTATGAACTTAATTATTATTGTATTTTGTTTTGAGGTCTATGTGAGAACCCACAAAATTAAGATATTGGATCACCTCTGGGGTCTTCATTTTTCCAATTCTGCTTTGCATGGGTGAAATATTGCAATTGTCACTGTGGAATTCTGAAATTACATTTTTTCTAATTTTTTCCTTTTCCTTATTAGTTTGCTTGCCAGTTTGCATTAGTATGGGGGTATGGTAGGTTACTGGCCACTGCTGTTGGCCTATGTGATACTGGAAAAGTTTTGCTTATGGAGTTAATAGTGAGGGTCAAAGTTTGACATTCATTTCAATAATTTATGTGGTAGAATGATTTATTTAATTGCACATAAAGTCAAATAAGTGATCTGCGTTAGGTTAAATTAGTTGAGTGATTTTGTTGTTTGTCAATTATCTGGAGAGTGACAACTATTTCTCCAACGATATGGAACCTAAAACCAAAGTAAAGATGCTAGTGTTTGACCAAAAGATGTTAAACCCTTCGTTTAAACCAATTTTATGGTTAGAAGAAGGGTGAATCTCAGTTAAGAATAATAAAATCTGGATCAAGTGATAAAGGAAATAAGCAAAATGAATGATGCTAGCTAATATGTTGGAATCAATTAAATGCTCATTAATGCAACAACTCGAATGTATAGTCAATCTAAATGAATGCGGCCCGGCGCAGGAAGAAAATAAGTATGAGATGATTGTAGAATCTTTGGATCTTATCAATATCGTATAACGATATATGTTTGGGTTGTGTAATCAATGAACAAGGCTGCTCTTGTATTTACTCTCAGGTGAATCTTTTACAAAGTGTTCTTTTGTCTTTTTCCTCAATCCCTTTTCCTTTACCAACTCTTCCTATTTATAAGGAATAATCCCCCATGAAACCTAGAAAGTACAATCATAAAGAATATCCGAAAAATATCTTCTTACTGTCTCCTACTAAGTTTGCA